AAGTTATGAACTGCTCTTTCCGACGTAAAATATTCACGCACTCTGATAAAGTTGTGTTCAGATTGTTGATTTGAAATTTTCAAGACTGGAATGTACTTGAAACACACTAACAAAAGGTCAGTCGTAAAAGCCGTTTATATACAACATAATCGAGAAGTATCTGCTAACTATTATGCTAATTAGCTAACCTGGTAATCCCGAGAAAACTCTGAACGGAACCGAATAAACGCCCGTTCAGTGCACAGTTAAAGTGCAGACTAGAGTTGTGTTGAGACGTTAAAACCTGAACAATATAAGAAAGTAACTTGCATTGTTAGACATGTAACTTGTTCTCAATTAATATTAGTGTATGTGGTTATCATGTATGAAATTATATGGCGAAATATAATTTCTCTATGTGAAACCATGCTGCAGGGTTATTGGCAAGGTGCACGATTGTCAGTTCGATAGAGCATGACCGGATGTGGCAACGTGGACTATTAACAAGGTGGTGATGTTTCGAAATCGTTTTAATATAAAAACTACGTAGTAAACATGCCTATTTGAAGCGTATTTTCCTCTGATAGTGAGTTTTTAAGGAGACAAGATATGTTGTGGCAACCAGCTTTGCATTCGCAGAATATAACTGTTCTTGACAATATCAGTTTAAGATACCTAGTAGTCTCTATACTGTTAATTTTTTTTCTTTGCAAATGATAGTTGTGAAAGAAAATGATTCCTCAAATGTCATGATATTATTTGTACATTGTTTGGTGGGGGTGGGGGCGATACAGAGGCTAACCTACAAACCGAGAGCATTTCTAACAACAACAACAACAACAACAAAAAAAAAAAATCATTAAATTATGGATGTTTTTTTTTATATACATGTCTTTCTATTGTTATTTGAAAATATCAAGTGGTTGGATAATATTTGTGCCAAGAGAATAGAGTAACTGATTAAAAGAAAACGCAGTTTACAGTTTCTCTGCTAGACCTAGAAATTCACGTAGTTTAAGTTAGAGATGGAACTTGTAACTGAAATATAATTGGTTGAAGTCGTCTCCCCCCTCTCTTCCATTGTATTTCGTCTAGAGCAGTGTCTTTTCCAACCGCCGGGGCGCGAAATGTTGTACTAATATATGTAACTAATGTTACTGGGGCGCAGTACCTTTTTAAGTTGGGAAACACTTATCTAGAGAACAAAAAAAAAAAACTGTTAATTACGAATTTTCTTCTTCCTAGCGCTATATTATTCACGCCATCGCACATGTTCGCCCCTTTCAGCAGTGGGGGCGTTACAATGTTACATTAAAACCCACTGTTGGGTTAGTAAAAGAATAGCCCACGAATTGGCGGTGGGTGGTTTTTACCAGCTTCGTCCCACTAGTCTATAACTGTTAAATTAGGGACGGCTAGCGCAGATAGCCCTGAAGTAGCTTTGCGTGAAATTCGAAACAAACCAAACCTAGCGCCAAAGTTAGCTCGAAAATAACGCATTCGACCAAGAATCTCGCATTTTCCAGTCGTTATTAACGTAATTTAATCCACTAAAGTGAAATTTAACATTCGCACAGCAAACACTGCGAATTGCTTAATAATAATCTGGAGAAGATGGTGCGTGATTACTGGGAACATAATGTAATACCGTCGTATAGTCAATATAAATGGATCTAAAACACGGAATTGTTCGTTGATAAGATAGTGGTTTCTATTACTTGGAAGAACCGACACTATTATTGTATTCAAAGCCATTCTTATGTTTTTCTTTCTAAATGCTTAACCGTAAACTAATGTATGTATTGTGGTATCATTTATCTTTGTTTTAGCTTTAATAGCGTCTTTCAATTAAAGAAAAAAAAGTTAATACTTGTCTAATTGTGTTACAGATCGATCAAAAGTGATAAAATACCTACAACGTTAATGAACATTTTGTTGCTTGGCTACTTCGAATCAATGGTAGTAGCGTTAAAGTATCAGTGTACAAGGCATTACTGGGTGAAGGGGGGGGGGGAATGATCGAGACTAACTGGGCTTTTGAGAAGCTGTTATTGCACGAAAGTGTAGTTTTTAACTGGCCATGAGTTTTGTGGGATAGTTTAACATGTAGTACATAATGCCTAGAATGTTAGGCCTCGCTGAACAGGCTTTACTATTTCACAATAAACTTAAATTACCTAGCTCCCCGACCACTGAGCTTAATTTTGTATTGTTGACTTGCACGAAACTGAAATATTTTATAATTGGATATTCCGTACTTATACAAATAACATAGCATCCGTTTTTTATGTCGTTTTCCGTACCCTTCACGTTAGCGCCTTGACTTTCTGGCAGACAACAGTGGAGTACTTGTGAGAAAATGTATGAAAATGGATAAATATTTGATAAGATGATTCGTGAGAGTATAATGACTAGATAATGACAATTTACATATCACTGATGTGGAAGATGATTGATTCCAAATCGCTAGATTTAAAAAAAAAAAAAAGTTCGAAATGCAATTGATTTCCAAGTATTGTTACCGGTATTATTTACTTGCATTTCTATGATTTTTTTTTTCTTTTAGGGAGGGGGCAGAAAAAATTAATACTCTAAAATCAATGCAAGTAGCAATGCAGAGGATTTTAAAAAATTAAGCGACTATCTCAAAGAGAGTAGAACTTCCCAATGGGGGGGGGGGACAAACCCCCACACCATCCCGGTGGACTCGCCCCTGCTGCTGACTAGATCTGTAGAGAAGTATTCCTTCAAACATTAGTACTTATTTTCCAGTACAGTTTTCAACATTGAATCTGAAGAGTAAATATAATGAAGTACAAGATGACGATGCATCTAGAGAAAATGTCAATACTACAGAACGTGTTGTCTTTCTTCCTCGGTCGGCTGTACTCTTTCAGAACAGACTGTCTGTCATTCAACCTTTTGGTATTGGTATCCAGGCACAGCTGACTGAATTGGGTCTGTCATTTGAAGTTGCTGACTCCAATGATCAGCCCATTCTGCCATGGCTCATTACCACTCCCACCTATGACCTTTCTTTGAGTTGTCTTAGGAAGGGGGATACTCCCGATTGGAAATGCAGTCTTCTCTTTGCCAAACATCTTTCGAACCATTATTGTTTCCTTCCCCATAGTTTGTTGTTCACAGGATCCCCCTCTACAGTTTGTATTGACTGCCCAGTTGTATGCCATTTTTCTTGCCCTGGATCACTTAGAAGCTAAATGGGTACACTAACTGTACTTTTTACACTGACTATCTCCCTCTTGGCCTTGGAATCTCTTAATATAAGTTTTCACTTTTTTCTCGTTGATATTCAGAAATGACTGGCCCGCTTTTGACTGTCTTGTGTTTGAATCCAGTTTTTCTGGATACTTGGTCAAGTCGATATTCGTGTGAAGGGGCTTGTTGACACCGTAGCTAAGTCCATCTGCTCTGGTGGGTCACAGCCGTTCCCATCCCGTATATGGACTACGGTCCTGTGTTCAAGGCTCGGCTTCGCTCCAATTCGCACTCTACTTTGGGTGAGAAACATAAGATTCTCTAGATGGAACCTTCTTTTGCTCTTTGGCCTTCTTGTCTCTGTAAGGATCGGAAGGAAAAAGTTGTCTTGGCTAGGCTACGCATTAATCAGTTTTATAACCGATCGTTTTCTATTATGTGGGATTGATTCGCCAATGTGTTGTCTTTGTGACACTGAAGTCGCAAATTGCCCACATTTTACTTTCGTGTCGTCATTACGACTGCGAGCTGCGGCACCATTTTCGACATGTATTTTCTAAGGATTTACCTCTGACATTTTAGTGTCATTGGTGATGGTGACACTGTCCAACTTAATCGTTTGTTTAGATTTTTGAGGGCCATAGGCCTCTTTAATTCTATTATTTTTAACTTTGTTTAGTTTTAACTGTTCTTAGATTTTCTAGTATTTTTCTTTTAAGAGACTTTTCCAATTTGTTTGGCCACAGATAGCCTAGTTGCTTTGCGCCTAAAATCAACTTTAATTTGGGCATTTTTCAAATTAAAACGTACTGCAGATTAGTAGTTGTAGCCGAGGGTTCCCGATTGGACAAAATTTGATGTTTCGTCAATGTGTCCTCTTCACAACCAAGCAAACGTAATGGGAATTTCAGCCAATGCTTAAGACTTTTGTGCGCCAGCAGTACCAAAAGTGGGGCGAGCATATATCCTGATTCGATTTTATTACTCATCACGATCTCTACCAACTTACCCTCAAATGTAATTATATGCCCAAGTAGCGCTCCGTCTGTTCTATATATAGCTGGAAGAACTTTAAAAAGAAAATTGCTTGTTGCAGCAGAAAGCACCGTCGTTTCGTATCGCAATGACCGAGATATTGGCGCGATAGATTTTTGTCTTTATGTGGTAAATATCTTTTATAAATCGACAGTGTTTTAAATCTCCGCGTTGTATTTTGGACACAATACCAGTGTCATTTTTTGTTAGTGTTCTAAGCCTTGCATAAGTCGGTTTGTTTATAGATATAAACACTATCACCTAATGTAAATTTTAGCGATTATATTAAGACAAAGATTTTGACGGCTCAAATAATTCATGCCCCTCAGTGGCGCAGCAGGAAGTCGGAAGGCTTGTAACGCTAAAAACCGGGTTCCTATTCCCGTGGTGTGCACAGCACAGATAGTCCATCGTGTAGCTTCGTGCTTATCGTCAAACAACCAAATAGTTCATGTTTTTATTTATTTTTTTCCCATAGCTTAGAAACATTTGTAAAATAATGTTGTTAATTTTTAAATAATAACCGCAAATCTTTAAGATTTTGAAATTAGGTTATCACATGCCCCTTAACTGATTGACCTGAAGACTAGTAGATAACTATATTTAGTAGGCTTCAAACGGGAAGTTCCGTATTTCACAATGATTATCTTCCAATTTCGGGTAAAACGTTTGTACTTAATAGCCTATTCATAAAAACGTTTAAAATATTGTTTGGTTATTTTAAGGTGCGTGATTGTTTTTCAACAAAGAATCAACTCAAGAAACTATATAATTATAAAAACCTTTAGAACAGCAATCATATACAAAGATTGTAAGAATAAAATGACAAACTGCTTCTCATGTACACACACGTACAGATATATTTTCTTAAACATATAAATAACATGTATACGTAGTTATTTACAAACAAATAACATTATAAACAAAATGAATTTCTACAAAGGAGCTACAAGTATTTCTGACACAACTGACCTTACGGTATGATTTTACTACTCCATTAAAAATAATTAGGGTTATAATAGATTGTCTTATATGGGTAGGATACACACTATATTTATAATCTGGTTCATAAGGCTGTTTATTTTAATAGTGTAGTGTATTTCATTTCTAAAAAAAAAAACTAATGATTTCACTGTTCAACGCAAAAGTTTTAAATTAACATATAGTTAAGTGATCCGTCGATTCCCCTCTTTTTACACAATAAGGGTGTCCTTCATCTTTCTGTTTTTTTCTTATGAAATTACTACAAAATCACTTTCATATTATGTTCAAATCACAAAAGTGTTTAATTCTTAAACTGTCTTATATACACAAACTTGTATATGTACAAAGAAAGGGAGAGAACGTTACATACATTTCGGAACACGATTTTATTTTACTACAATATCGGTGTGAAACGGAGGCTATGAGCATGCTTTTGTGATAATTATTCCTATTAAAATCGTAGCCTAGCTGTCATGATGAAACATCGTAAGAAACCTCCTGCAAATATACGTAAACATGTGTCTTTGTCTATATAACCTTCTTAATGTCTTCAAATATAGGCAGTAGTAGTAAACTGAGACCTGACAAAAGGTTTAATTTTTCGAATTCACGATAGCAAATTACACAAGTCTTCGTCTTGAAGTTATTTTGAATGGTAAACTATTGTCAGATGTACATTAACTACTAAACACAAAACAAAAACTCGTGGATAGTTGGGAAAATATGCGACACTTCCCGACGGTATAGAATATTTTTGAACTGGACAGATTCGTGATCAACAAGATGTAAAAAAGTGTAATAAAACAATTACTTGTAGAGAATATAATTCCACAACAGTATGCTCAGAATTAACCGGATGAACTTGAGCATAGTATCAACAATCTGTAAAGCAGCGACACTTTGTACCGTATGTGAAAATTTAACATGTATTTACAATTATAAATATACTACGGAATACTATTGGTTAAAATATATACTTTTTTTTTCTTATTGAAAACTTCTGAAATTTTATCAGTTATATTCACATACAAACTCCCCTTTACTCGCACGTATGAACACGTTAGGTTTGGCGAGTTTTGAAGTTTCAGGATACTCGCAAGAGAAGTTTAATACTGCGATTCTCTTGTCCACAAGGTGCAAACTTAACGCGATATACTTTAGTTCTCGGACGCTTCGAGTAGTCGCGTTAACGAAGCTCGTACTTTCAATTAAGAGCTCGTTGATAGTGAACCATGGGTAACACCTTTCAGTAAAAAAAATATATGTAGACGCACTTCACAGATTTTACTATAATATGACTGAAAATTAGGTTATGCGTCTTTCATCCCTTATTTAATGCTCATTAAACCAACACCGCATTCGAATGTTCCCATTACACACTAGCACTTTGTTCAACTCTTACAGGTAATTCCTTATTCATTTGGCACATTTACTGGTACCACAAACTTCAATAACTTTGTTACTATTTTTAAAATTCTGGGAAGTTAATTTTAATATTAAATAATTAGAAATACAGTGGCATGTAGTGAGGGTGGCTGGCGACTGGGGGCAGTACATAATTTGGCACCCCCGCCCTTTACACTCTTACTTTATCTACCATGCTACTGATCTCACCATATTGTCATGATTATCTGGTCTTTGAAATACAATGAGCTCTAGTCTTGTGGGAACAGCTAAATTCTGGGGTAAACTGGTTGTTAATTTGACGCCCTCGAACCTGGCGCTCGGAGGCAAATGCCCCCCCCCCCCCTCACTACGCTAGTATTATCAAATGTAATTACAATATGGAAAACGTTCTTATAAGTTAAGACAAACTGTGTTCACCAAACATAAACTTGTGATCTATAACACCACTGATGCGTGTTGTAACGATATTAGCGCACACATTTAGCGTGTTTCTAACAACGCAAATGACGTGCGGTTTTCGATACAAAATTGTTTATTTAAATTCATTATTATATTATGAAGTCACTGGATGTAGATATATAAAATTCTACACAAATATTGTACATGGTCTAACACTTGTGTTAAACCACAATGACTGTTGTTTGTAACTTTAATTTATGTTGTAAACATTCAAAACCAGGCTTGTGTTCCACAGAATACAAATCGTGTTGTTTTAACGTAAGTTTGTGCTAACTGAATTAATTTTGAATTATCAGAGTAGCAGTAGATTAGACAGCCAAAATGGCTTTAAAAGACAACTGGCAAGAGATGTACGTCTGTATCCAAACTATTATGTTTTAGAGCAGTTATGTGGTCCCTTATTTCACATACTACTCCAAGGTTATACCAGGAGTTCAGTATTATAAAGTTTGACTACCATCAGATGAGGTTAATGCGACATCAGACTGTAATTAGGATTGACTAAGTCAAACGTTATAGTTTGTACAAAATGGCTCTCACACTTAGATTGAGAGGTCTTGCCATTTGATGTTGACTGCTGTGGACACAACTAAAAACAATATTTAAGAATATACATAAAAAATATATATTTACAAGTTAAAATAATCTGTGGAAATTAAAAGTTTCGAAAATAAGTTAAAATCCATTTTCAAGCATGTTCGAATCACGAGACCACAGTAGTGACCTGGTATGGTGAATGACCACTATCTACCAAAAACCTCAAGAGGTCTTCGGCGCTTACTGGAGCTAGTTTCACGTTGGGTGAAGACAGTGGTGAATATACATCAAAGTCGTACAGCGACAGATCAATATCTCCAAAAATTTCTTCCCCTGAGCTTAAACCACTGGAACTGCCAATGGTTACAGGGGATAATGAGCTAATTGAAGGACTTGAAGTTGGGCTTGTGTTAACTTTATCTTCAGGCGTAACTACAGAAGACAATGATGTCATGACGGTCATCAATGGACTGCTGGTAACTGGCGTGAGTGTTTGAAGTTGGGAGGATTCTATTGATGTCCCAAGACTAACTGCTGAATTCGAACTTCCAATGCAAGGAGAGTTACAATGGTAGTCAATGGTAAAATTTCCATCAATGGCAGTTGTTTCAGCATTATTGTTTATCGAGGAACTAAAATTTAGAACTGAACTCCAGTTTAGAATGGTTAGTCTATCTCCTTCTTCGTTCCATAAGGCACCAGAATCGAGACAATCGCATAGCGTCTTGATTAAAGGGGTCAGTTTAGCAGAGGAAGCGTCAAGGTCCATTATGTACCTTTCGTTATCATCATCAGGTTGGCTGTCGTTGCGTACATCACTTCCTTCAGCTGAAGTCTTTGCAGACTGGGAACTCTGACTAAGATTGTTTTCCACTGTTGCCAAAACATTGTTTAAGTAACTGCAACGTATATCTTCCATTTCTGAAGACCTCGCTAAGTTGCAGTCTTCAATATCCATTCTCATTCTGTCGATGTCTGTCGTTGATGGAGAGGAAGAGGATTTTGAGTTATCATAAAGAGGAATATAAGATTTTTGTGGGATTCCATCTGGTTTGACAAGTGTATGATCAGGAGGCGGATCAAGGGTCATGATCTGGAGGCTATGAGGGGAACGCATGATATGGCCATTAGAACCGTAATTCATTTTTACTCCTTCCTGTTCACATTCTCTTTGGATAATACGCATAGTATTGTAAATAAGAACAGAACGTCTGAGACTTAGTGTCTGTCTCATGGGCAGTCTATTCAATTTACAAATGCTCATATTAAGCACCAACTTCCGTTGGCTGGAGTAGGATTGTTTGGAATCCAGTGGTTCCATTTCTGAATCTTCGCCAAATTTCCGTTTGGCGCCGTGGGCCTGAGAATCGTACATACTGACTGCTACATTGGTGACGGGAGTTGTAACACTCTAATAAATAAAAGATAGAAAAAAAAGTAAATTATTTTACTCAAGTGTTGAACTAAGAAGTTTATCTATAATATATACATGTATTCTTCAAATTACAACGTTGATACAGAAAACTAGTAACAGTCCACACAATACCAGTAAAGAAACTGGACCACTAGAATATACATTTTTCTTTTCCATTTATATCAAATGATAAGGTTTTTCGGTTTCAAAGATTAATATTTGTTTTTCTGCACCCGCTTTATCGGGTTATACTGATTTGAAATCAATTAGTCCAATGATTATTATTTATAATTTAAACAATACAACTCGCCCTTCTTAAAATTTAACATACTTTCATACCTACGTTATACAAAATCCACTCGCCGCAAATTCCAAATGTAATAATAATAGTTACGAAGGCAAAGGTAATTTTTACAATAGAACAAATGGAATACAGTAAATATCAGAAGCTCAATAACCTTTAAATCGCTAATAATTATAAGTGGGCAAAAATTATGGATTCCTACGTAATTATAGATTACATAAAGACAACAACACCTACATTAGCAGAGAATAATGACTACGTTATTTGTATAGTCAGATTTTTACATGTATATCCCCGAGATCATTCTAGAGGTGATAAGAGCAGTTTCGAACTAGTAAACACCTTTTACAATCAACAGCTGGTTGTTGACACTTTTCTACTAGCCCTACGCGTGAAGAACTTCAACTGGTATTTGTAGCTTTGCCTACATGTTGACCAAGTTAAATATTGCCATGCATTAGTTCTGAATTTGAAATAATGTATATTGTAATATACATGTTCTTATTCAAACGTAAGCAATAAACCCCAATTACTAATACCTGTGATTGTCACCTGCCAATAGGAGGTGATTGTTAATCTTTGATTAGTTTTTACTATGACACACAGTGGGTTATTTGTGCCCTGTCCACCAAGGGTATCGAAACATGATTAGTGTCTGAAGCTTGCTGCCTTACCCTTTAGTCACCGAGAGGCTAATTTATAGCGTTATACATGAAAGACGCTTGTTTTGTTTGTCTTTTTAAATAAATTGTTTATTTATTGCACATTCTTTGACGAAACGTTTTCTTTGTGAAGTACGTAAACGTTTTAGTTTAAAATAGGTTTGTGCTTAACCAGCCAACACTATAAATTTTAATAAAATGAACTTGTTAAACTTGTTTGTTTATTTTGATACATTTTACTATATATTTGAATTTTTTAATGGGAAAATACATAACTTAAGTCATTTAACAAATAATATACACAATCACTTAATAACCGAAAATCGCAAAACAGTCTGCTGGAAGGCGAGGTCGCCAATCAGGCGAATTGTCCACGTGCTTCTACACCTATTTTTATAGGCTCTTTCCTCAAAGTGTGTGGGCAGAGAGGCTCATGAACACTACGCCTTCTTTTCGTAGCTGTAGAAAGAATAGGCCATTATTGATCGGTCAAAGTGTAAGCGCTAGATGGCAGCGATGGAAAAGTTGGAGATTGGCGCTACTAATTGTGAAGAAATGGCATTCTGGAAGAGTGAAATAAATATTGATCTGATGGTTAGAAAATTTCGTTACGCGTTAAGATTTCGTTCCAGAACCCACTGCGCGCTTCTCGCCGCCTGTGGGAGAAATTCAACATCCTCACAATAAGGCTGCGAGCTGGCCAAATGAATCACCCCTCCACAAAAAGTCATATAATCCGGAGTTGACTCAGTATTTTATCTTATTCTGTACATTCCAACATACAAACTTGAAAAAAAAAAAAAGTTGAATCAGGAACGAAAACGGCGAAAAAAATTATAGGCTTTTGTTTTTGTTTGTTAAGCGCAAAGTTACATAAAGAGCTACTTGTGCTCTGCCCATGGCAGGTATCAAATCCAGATTTTATTGTTATTAACCCACAGACCTACAACGGTGTCATTGGGGTGCTTGAAAAAGGGCACGAAGTTCAAAAACAATACAAAAAGTTTGAAGACGTGGAAAACCTGCTCACCGCTCTGTTCATCTATTTTAAAGCATAAATATCACATGCTAATAGTTTAATCATGGTATGATATTTTTATTCAAATCAAATTTTATTTTCTGTTAGTGTACTTGCATATATGATAGATAGATGATTCGCAGCAAGAGTCAACTAAGGTATTATAAACTGGAAAAGTTCAGAATGTTACCATTTCGTTTACGTGAAAAAAAAAGTTAGTTCTCACGCTTTACAACTTCCTGTTCTACGTCATTTTTTGTTGAACGATTCATGTGTTTACTCTTACCACTCAATAGAGGGCGCTAAATAAGGCATAAATGATCTGGAAAGTTTTTGCTATCGTACATCTTGTCTTGAGTATTACGTTATGACGACGTTTCGGGACACTTGTGTTTCTTCTTCCGTGTTCCGAAACGTTGTCATACCATAATATTCAAGGTAAGATATCTGATGGATTACGGATAGTAAAAACCTCCTATACTTTATCCTCTTGCCAAACAGAGACATAAGTGATGATATTGTAGAGTAACTTTTCTCTTTATTACAGAACTTGTGAGCTAGAAAAAAACAAAACAATTAGTTATTAAGCAATTTCAAATCACAACAGAAATATTTCAAACAATTAATATTTTATCAAGAAACTTGTTAAAAGTTATACTTTTGCATTTGTTGCCGGAAAAATCATGTTTTCCATTGTTTTTATTTTTTGATTCAACATATATTATGATAAAGGTTTAAAAATTAAGTTAACTTTAAAAGGCAACACATTTTTATACACTATTTTCAAATTATTTTGTGTCAAAGATATTTTAACTTTTTATTGAAAAAAACGCAAACGGCTGAAAACGTTTTTAAGAATTGTCTTATCCATCTATTTTTAGAAGAATCAATCAAAATTAAGTGTATTTCTGAGATCCTCCGTAATAGGTGTTAAAAGTTAATGTAAATCTTATCAAGAAATAGTATAGTGGCGCTTCTTTATATCTGCGTCATAATAGTAAAACAGCAGAAAACTGACATTAAAATAAAGAATGCAATTTACTAAAAATTTAGGTATTAACTCATTCGCAAAATAATCGAAAATATATTTAGCAGTGTTATGCAAAATAGCAGATAAAACTGTAAAAAAAACAATAAAAAATACTTCAATTTGAAATTATGGAAAAAATATAAACACACGACAGTTATATGAAATATGTCTATAGCTTTTATGCTTAAACTAAAGTCACTAGTAAATTTTTAGAAATTGGAATTGCTTACCTTTTATTTTCTATGTTGCCACGTGCTTGTATGTACTTAAAACAATTCACTTAACTGAACGGAAAGAAAACCTGAGTGCCAAGTTTCGCAAAATAAGCTACAAAACTCTTTCGTAACAGACGAATATACAGGTTTGTTTTAATTTTGCTTGAAATTATACTTTACAACTTCTTACGATATTTATGTTTTGGTACCTAACCAAATATTACACCAATATACATGCGCTGTTTGGTAATACTTTGGAACTACCTGGTCTTTAGTCTAAATTAATAAGTAATAAATTATAGAAAAATATCCAAGGTCAACTAAATTTGAAAAAGCCGGATAATAATATAACTACAAGTAGTACAAACAATTTGTTAAGAGAAGTGATTACTGGGGACTTTCCTTGATCCCATGGGGCGAGACTTTAGTTAGGCGTCGAATAAACTTTTATAAAGACTGTTCCATCTAAAGTAATTTTTCTGTTAATTATTTCAAAGCGTATGTAATGATAAATAATAAATAACACCCACCAATCTTAAAAGTTAGACTAACTGATTCACCTTATTACAAAAGCAAAATATTACTGAGATAGTAATTTCATTTGTTGCAAATATAACTTATAAATCGTATCATTCTAAAAGTAAGTTATGTATGAAATATAATACAAAATAAATTACAAAGTTAGGTAAAGAGTTAGAGACAATTTAGGTAGCGTGAAAACCTAATATTCATAAACAACCCACCTTGATGTCTAGTTGGGGATAGTGCGCTGGGGAAATCTCAACACCCATGCGATAAGCACACGCTGGACAATCTCGGGGATTCACTTCCAATATCAAACATTAACAATACGTAAAGTAAAATTATATCGTCTTTCTGAACTGGATAATCTAGTTGTAAGTGGTGAAATTTTTAAGGCAAAAGCAGTAACGAAACTAACAAAACGACGCGTGAAATAAAAGCATAGTAACTCACAGTCTCAGTGCCCTACGAACGTTACCGACTTCGGTTAACTGACGCTCACGACTCACGAGGTATCATAGTCTGTCTGTTGGCTAGCCTAGCATTGCCTTGCCTCCGCTCGGGGGGGGGGGGAGGGTTAAAAAAGATGTCGCGGGGAAGCAGTGTTTACGCAAACAGCTCGGTTTGGATGACGTCAACTCCGATAAATTCCCGCTTCTGAACCACTAGCTCAAATGCACCAATGAAAATGCGTTGGCTCCTTACGTAATAATGTCTATGTGACAGCACATGCGTCAACAAGTCTACAGACAGCTGAGAGCTGAGATGTTTTCGAATCTCTTTGATGTAAATGAGAGTACCTATACAATTTTCTAGGATAAGCTAACTGAACTTATTGTACGTCATAGGCTTTGCGTAACAGAAACATTAAAAGTTCAAAGAGTAATTTAATAACATGTTCTTATTAACATTCATTTACTGTACAATCCAGAGCTTTTCCTAAGGATTTTTTTTTCAAATGCACAATTGTATTTAACTTCATCATTTTATTACATGACGCTTTATTACACCTCATATATACGGGCCTAGTAACAAATGTTTCAAAAAATGAATAATATTCTAGTAAAAACATTTATTTGTAAACTCTGGAATGGAAGTTTATAATCTTTTTTTTATGATATTTATCCACTTGAACTTACATATATAGGTGAATTTTCAACTGCACAAATATTTTACAGGTGCATAATTTGTGATCAATTGTGAAAACCACTGGTAGTGAATCAATACCAATATCATGATTCCAAATAAAAAGATAATCCTAAAGCACTAGTTACCTTCAAAGCAAGTCACTACCATGAAAAGTCATCCTGATGAGAAAATACGTTGCTACTACATCCTTGTTTGATTTTTATTGTTTTCAGACAATAGTATTACTATCATTTGTTGTTCTGCGAACCCATTTATCCCTAATTCTCAACATAGCATTTTTCTAAGTATGTTTATTTATATGTATATCAACCAGTTTATCTGTTGCATTGTCACTGATCATTATTTAATAATATCAGCTTGTCAGTTGTCTTTCTATCATCTGAATAACACATTTTATTTCCACATCTGGCGATCTATAAAACTAAAATTTCTTCATTACTTACTGGCGTGTTAAACGAACAACCATTTGGCGTTGGTCTTGGATAATGAAGCGTGTATTTCAAAGAGAGCACTAGAAAATCAACTGAAGTTAATTTGTTTTTATTTTTGTCGAGTAACGGAGAAAACAACTTGACCAGACTTGCTAAATATGCTTAAAAATTTGCATTTCATTCGCGTTATGGATACAGTCAGTGCTGGTATAAATTGAAAATATTGAATACAAACCTAAACGACGATACAGTAGTTTGACCGTTTAGTAGGCTTAACAATGGTATTTCTGAACCATGAAACCTGTCCCAACCAAATAAATAAATAAATAAACTTTTTTGTTTTAGGAGGCACTGTAACTGTATTCTTATTATAAGTGTGTTGTAAGGTATAAAGTTTAAGAAATGAGATTCATAAAAATGTTTAAGTTTTTTTGTTTTTGTAGTTCTGTAAACGTTGTCGCGGTTCGCGGATAGTGTACACTGAATGTGCGTCATTCTACGAAGTGATGATATAAAACTTGCGCGTCACATCAGTGGAATCGATGAGTGCGCATGCACGTTTGCGCTTTGGGTTAAACTTATTTCAGGAAACAGTCTTAAAAAGTTGCATGTTCAAGGATGAGAATTTAAATCGATGTACAGTCCTGAAAATGGTTTATATCATCCTGTAATGCAAATTAATTCTGGTTTATCAACAATTCAGTGAAAGTATAATTTATGACATTGTATAAGAGAAACCAAGAAAACATCATTCTGTTTTAAAGTCTTGTTTATCGACAAATAAACATCTAGTGTATGACATCCTATAATCTAAATCAAGCTTATTGGATTCTCTAAAACAAGTCTTGTTTATCAATACTGAAGGTCTAGTGCAGTGGTTCCCAAACTCTTTAGACTGAGGCTTTCTTGATGTGAATAAAGTTTGAGAGCTCCCAACATAAAAAATGACTTAACTTGTGATTTTAAAATGTTCCCCCACTACTTTAGCATGGTGATTCAAAAACAATGTCCTAGTAAAAACAATAATACCGCCTATCTACATACTGTACCATTTAATTAGTTCAACATAATTTTTTCGTCTTATTGTTTATTTAGAATTAAAATGAATTCAGCATCTTTGTTTTCGGCCCATTTTACGGCGGCCCCCCAAATAAGCTTCAGTCCCCCAGGGGGGGGGGGCTCCCACTTTGGGAAACACTGGTCTATGGTATGGAACTCTAATACAAACCAACTATATTGAATCCACCGATAATACCAGTCACTTATGTTTCATCTGTGTGTGTGTGTGTATTTTGAGACGTTCTTCCGTTCGGCGGATTCTATTGGATTATCTAGTGCCAAGTCCAGTTCACGTAACAATAACATAAACTTATTTCTTCCTTAACCTTTGCTAAAGAAAATTTTCACTTGTACACGTATGTAGGCTTAAGTTCACAAATAACAATTTCACTTTCAACAAGAATTCCAAGACTACTGTAAATATGGCTAGCTCACTTAATTTTGATTGATAAACAACTAGCTCACTGAGTAAGTGAACAACTTTTTTGATACTACACTGACTTCTTAATTAACAATATTGAACATTTCACAGAATTTACTCATTGATCAGTGATTCTCATATTTACAAAATACTTCCACATACCATGTGAAATTTCTCGATTGTTGCATCATCATCAGGGTCCAGGGTTCGAATCCCCGTCACCGAACATGGTCGTCCTTTCAGCCGTGGGAGCGTTATAATGTGTTGATCAATCCGACTATTCGTTGGTAAAAAAGTAGCCCCAAGAGTTGGCGGTGGGTGGAGATGAGTAGCTGCCTTCCCTCTAATTTTACATTGCTAAATTATAGATGGAAAGCACAGATAGTCCTGTTATAGCTTTGCGCGAAATTCATAAAAACCAAACGATCATCATCATGATTAGAAATTCCCTATAAATCAAAACATTGAAATATAGCTGAAAACACTGTCCCTTTCTAGATTTTGAAGTCCTTTGAATAATCCTAATAAAAAAAATAAAACAATACTAAACTGTCCATTCAGTTTTTGGGCGGTTTTATTTTCAGAAGATGATGGTATACATATGGGTTAGCCTTTTGTCCTTTGTCATCATTTCAAGTCCTGTCACTTGGGGAGTTTTCTCTGGGTAGGTGACCAAACGAATCCACTGTTAATACTCTGGAAGTTGTCTCTATAGGAATTCTGGGCTCCTCGGGAGGTTGACTTTCCAATGACAAATCCCACTTTGGAGTTCCCAGTTGGCCATTCTCTCGCTAACATACTTCCAAAGATGATCATGATAGGTAACAACTGGCTTGGGTTCTAAGAATTAAACCACTGGTTCTTCTTAGTACAACGTATGATCCTTTCAGCACCTGCTTAACTTTGGAGTTCCTCCTTTCTTGTGGTGTGGAGTGTACAGCCATACTATGTGACTTTGATGGAATCCAATCTCATCAGCATTAACATTCTAGTAACTTTTTATTATATGACAAGCTGATTTCATTCTTTCCTGGGTAAAATCATGTATCTTTATTCTTCACATCTAAGAGCTCTTCCAACTACCAATCTTTTAGGACATGCCAGAGCATTTGGTTCCACTACACTCCAGTCAGCAGAAAAACATTTATTCCTGTTAATCCCTGATATGATTATTTCACTTCTTGGTGGTACAGTAATGGAAACTTCTAGTTTTCCCACTAGAAATTATGTCCACAGGCTGTTGAATAAATCTCTCTTCAGCCAGTAGTGCCCAGATACGAAGGCCAAACGGAGGAATAGCAGACCATCTGTTCCGAAAGGGCATTGCCCACCAAGGAAGAAAGACACAATCCTAGGTAGGATGCCGTGGTAAGGATCGAAGTTTAGTAGCATATTGTAAAGAAAGTTGCAAACAACAGAGGTGAAGAGAAGGTTCATGGGACTCACTCTGTACAAACTCTGGACTGGAGAAGTGTGAAAAGCACCGGTGCAAAGCCGAAGCCCCAGATGGTGAATGGAGTATAGCATCTTCAGGGCCGAGGTCCTGGCAGACTCATAGACCAAAGACCCATAGTCCAGTTTGGATCGAATCAGGGCATGATAGATCCTGAGCATAGAACAGCGATCCGCTCCCCAAGAGCTGGAAGAGAGGACACGGAGGATGTTCAGATCCCTTGTACACTTGACACGTAGCTGCTTGATGTGTGGAATGAAGCTAAGCTTATGGTCAAAGATAAGCCCCAAGAACTTTGCCTCAGGGACCACACGAATAACTATATCGCCGTGACGGAGCTCAGGATCAGAGTGGAGACCCCGTTGGCGGCAAAAATCCATGCAAACGGTTTTGGAAAAAGAAAATTTAAAACCATTTGCAGGGGTCCATGTTAACAACCGATTGAGGGCAGTCTGAAATTGCCGCTCAATAAACCTCATGTTTGACGACTGACACGAGATGTGGAAGTCTTTGACATAGAGCCCATTTGCAACAGTCGGAGGAAGATTTGTAGTGATAGTATTAATTTTAACACTAAAAAGTGTGACACTCAAGACACAGCCCTGAGGGAACCCACATGGACTTGGAATCGCCTGTTCAGTAAAAAATTGCGAATAAAAATGGGTAAATGGCCACACAACTCATAGGAGTGGAGGTCCTGCAAAATTCTATACCTCCACGTAGTGTCATAAGCCTTTTCGAGATCGAAGAACACAGAAACAAGGTGTTCTATCTTGAGAAAGGCTTCCCTTATCGACGTTTCAAGTCGAATCAAATGGTCCATGGTAGAGTGCTGTCGACGGAACCCACACTGGGTGGGTGAGAGGAGTGTGTTTGATTCCAGGGACCAAACAAGACGAGCATTAACCATCCTCTCTAGAATCTTACAAAGACAACTAGTCAAAGTGATGGGACGATAATTAGAAGGAATCTTGGGATCCTTCTCACGTTTAGAGAAAGG